ATTAAAAGAAAGGAAAGAAAAGCGCCGTAAAAAAAAAGCAGAGGTTTTATTCTTGAGCTTCTACTCTGTTCTGTCGTCCTGCTGTCGTCTTTCTTCCTCTTCTACTGTTCTTTTTTCTTTGTTTTTCTACTGGTGGTCAAGTGGGGTCCACTGACGGTGACGGTGACGGTGACGGTGACGGTGAGGCTGTGACGCCGTCCATTCGTGGTTGCCGCAAACGGATAGTGGGAGAAATTTAAAATATTTTAATTACCGTGATTTTGATTATTAGGTCTAAAACCGACATTACTGCGCAAGAAGAAGAGAAAAAAACCTGACATTAGTAGATTAATTACAATTTGGGTAACGGATCAGGTCAGTAACTTTATAGTGAGTAACCATGAGTAATTCGTTTACATCAGCATAACATCAGCATCTCTCTCTCCTGGAAAGTCTTTAATTTTTCCATCCTTAATCTTTGATGGACGATTTCTCACTCGTTTTAAGTTGAAATTTAATTTTTTTTTGCACAATTAGATCATATTAATTGTGATTTTCAAAATGATATCCACTTTGATATATTTTTTAGAACAAAAAGAATTGAGCCATTTTTTACCAGTCTATACTATATGGTATTGAAATAAGAGCATAACTATGGTTTGAAAAGCGTACCATGGCGGTATGAACAAACCAAGACTGTAGAATGGTTGAATACATGATAGTAGAAGTATATATATTAACTGTCATTCACTGCAGTGCCACATACAGAACGAGTTGTTTTTTGGACCTATGTTTTTAGAAATCTTACGGGTGATCTGACAGGAAATACCGGATATTAAAATCAAAATAATAAATAATTTAACAATACAAAATGATTGGAGCATGATTCAATCATAATTTTTTTTTATAAAATAACATATCTCTAACTTTACTAACGATGTTTCGATACGATTTCACAATCATTAATCAATACCCGAAAAAGCATACCTTTTTTATTTGCTTAGAATGTTCAAAAGGATATGACGTCATTGTCTTTGTAACCCACCATTCAACCCTAATCCAAACCGACTTATTGCCGAATTAAGAAGAAAAAAAATGCGTGGCAATTATGAAATTCTTTTTTTATTTTGAAAAAAGTTGGCCATAGACCACCATAGTTTCCTTGTCTGAAAGTTGGACGGTGGCCGATCCCAAGATGTTCAAACCTCCTAACTTACATAATTATTCATTGTTTTTCTCGACTGAAATTTGGGCTATGAAACTATGACAGCCGTGTCAAACGCACCGAGGTTGACTTTTTGGTTGCTTTAATTAGCTAGAGAGGTTGTTGATTCTGAATCCCGTCCCGTCATTTTTTTTTCCCCCTTCCCCGCAGTCCATAACACTCTTCCCCGTACGAACAAACACGGACCCCTCCTCGGCCGACGCTCAACGTCGCCGCCACGTCAGCCACCGCGCCGCCGCCGGCCTCCATCTCCGTCCATTCATGGAGATTATGTTGTTCAACAGAGATTTTTCCAGGAGAGATAGTGTGTGCGTACGCAAGTGTCGCAGTTGAGTTATAATCCGATATTCGGGTCGTTGTTATTTTAAGATAAGATTAGATATAATTAGAAAAATGATTCAGATGAACATATTCAAAATCACTACTCTACATTTAGCTTATAAATTCTAACCCCAAAAGTTATTCGTCTAAAAAAACAATGAAACCTAAAAATTCAAAAAGTATAAAACGTAAAAGACTAAAACATATATGAGGTTTGTTACCTTGAAAATTTACTAGAGCAGCGGGGGATGTAGAGATGGAAACACAATGCAAATTGATTAGTAGATTGATTTGTCTAGTGTTGATGTTGCTCGTTTCAACAGTTAGTACGAAGAGAACCTTTTCAATAATGAAACATGTGAAAATCGATTTGCGCAACAAAATGAGCGACGAATTTCTAGTCGATTGCTCAAGTATTTTATTTGAAACAGTGTATACTATTGGTATGGATGTGGACTCTTTTATTAATGCATTCGCTAAATTAAAATACCGTAGTGTACAATTTACATTGTCAAAAAATTATAATCATAATATTTTTTACTATTCTAATTTTCTAATAAAATGCGGTCCAGTACACTTTTATGTTCTGGATCCGCCGCTGGGATGTTACATGTATGTTCAAGATTGAAAAAAAATATATATTTCACCAGCTTTAATTTTAGGAGGGGAATGTCCAACCGAACATGCAAGATTCCGAAAAGGATAGATTGGGAAGAGGGAGACAGACAGGGAAATTTCGACCGTAAGATACGATGTGAAGGTGTGATCATACAACAAATTTAATGATATTCGCCCACTATTCTGCTGGCTAGCACTGCCTTACAAAAACAGTAAGGGAAAACAATAATGAAATAATATACACGTAAATAAATAAGGATTCAAACACCTCTAATCTCGAACATTTTTACATGGTTTAGGCTTGTAGGTTTAATTTCATGATTGAAAACCTTGGTGATGGGAAGTTGAGATGAGAAGATTCTAATAAAAACTAATCAAAGTCCTCCATTGAATGAAATCAACAACAGTAACTCAGTAAGTAACCGGCTACGCTAGCTGTTGAATTACTAGATGCAATTCCTCCTTTTATCAACCTGGTCCTCAAAACCTTTTGGATAATGTCTATTTTTTATCAAAACATTTTTCATATTCTTTTATCTTATCCAGACCTATCGAAATATTAAGAACTAGTCAAATGTTAACTTCCAGTTAGCAATTTTGTTAGTGATATTGACTTAACAACATGATACTGACTTGGAAGAGACTCATGAAGGTCAACATTCCAAAATATTTGAATAAGTAATAGAATTTTAATAAGTTTGGATAATATAAAATAATATGAAAAAGGTTTGGATAAAAAATAAACATTACCGAAACTTTTCAATTTATATTTTTTAAGTAAGCGAACATCACTCTTAATTTAGGGGTCGTTTGGAAGTTGTGATTGTTAGAGTTGTGATTGTTGAATACGTGCACAATACAATGTTTGGAAGTGTCAAAGTGTAAAACAATGCATGCATTGTTTTAGGTAGGTCCCACCAACAATCACAAAAAATGATGCATTATACAATCTCAACTAAAAGTTGAGATTATTGTGATTGTTGATTTTAGATTTGTGTCAACTTTTTCTTTCCATTTATATCCTTAATAGTTTTTGTCTTATTCTAAAAGTTGAGGGGTAAATGTGGCATTTCCCCATAAAGTAACTTTATGTAAATCAATGCATAATTTTTTTTTTTACTGTGAACCTGGGAATCTTCCATTAATCAGCAGGGAAAGTTACATTGTCCAACTCTAACTGATCAAGCAGAATGATCGGGGGTCTATCCACCCAAACAGACCTTTCATTCCATATTGTTTCCACATGTGCCATCATATGAGCCACCGCATTCGCTTCTCTAGGTGCATACTGCCAAGAGGATTCGCCTAAAAGTCCGAGCAGCCGACGAATGTTTCTACACACCACTCCTTTTTCAGTTTTGATTCTTTCCGCCTGGGAAATATCTGCAACAAGATTCAAGCAGTCCGTCTCCAATACCGGGTTTGTAAGATTGAGCTGTACCGCCATCTGCACGCCCAGCTCCATCGCCAAGGCTTCCGCATCCTCCGGGTCCCGGACGCCTGTGATCTTCTTAGCCACTGCAAAGAGGAAGCGGCCAGCAGAGTCCCTTGCCACGGCACCGAGACCAGCACCTCCTCCCGGCAAGATTCCTGCATCCGAGTTGATTTTAATCCTTCCCAACAGTGGAGCCATCCATACCTTTCGAGGAGTTTCCATCTGCAGATTGAGTTCTTTCTCTTGTCTTAGTTGGTAATCAGCTAGCAGTTTAGCAAAATCAATGCATAAAATAGAATCTCAACAACCAAACAATGTATTGTTAAAATACATCTATTGTATCAATACATGCATTTATATTATGGTGATTCATTACAATGCAACGATTTAACATTCACAACTTCCAAATGATTGATTGCCAGTTATTATTGTGTTTCATCACTCTTAATCGACTGTAGTTTTGTTTTCTCTTAAAAAAGACCATATTGCTCTAGGCAGGTTGGTTGGGCTTTGTCACGGTTTCCTTCCTGGATTTAAAGCCTTTGGGCTTTCTCGCCTCATTTGGCCCACCCAGCATGCACCACCTAACTCTTCACTGTCTATACTCTATACGTAGTGTTTGTGTAATCATAATTGATTGAGTATATTAGAGAATCAAATTAATATGTGATTTTCTCATAATTGTTTGTTATATATCGTACCGTAAATTTTAGTAATTACTAATTAGAAACATAAACAAACTTTAATTGTATCACTTTCCACATATAATAATAATAATAAATATGTCAGTTTCACGAACATTAATTGTGTTTCTTCATCCCCTCCATTCCCAATTTAGCGTTAAGAAATCCATTCTGACGAATCTTACCGATTCAAGAAGCGAACAACATCCCCGAATCAAACTTTCATTCTTCCTCCCGAAATCAATCGAAACGTGAAGGTCAATTCTCATTAATCTTAATTAAACTACAATACTACATTAAAAGTATCCCTAATGCGTTGCATCAAACTCCATTACTAATCCGATCGACGATCGTTTACACTATCGATTTAACCTATGATTTAGACACGATAACAAAATCGACCGATATGATTCGAAGAAGACAAGCAAGTGATGCAACCAAATAATGATTTCGCACTTACAGTTCAGCTGCACAATAATCACATGGCTACAGTAAAAAAATTAGATTCGAGCTACCAAAAAAAATTAGACACAGAGCTTCTTCTTTCCTTCCCCCATTATCCACGATCAACACATGCTGGCGCAACGGTTGCACCCAACAAAATCGGCCCCACCGTTTCTTTTCCCGACCTCACTCCTTCCTTCCTATCCCCCAAACGGCAAAAATCGCATATAAGGCGGAAAAAAGAGCCCAACGCTTCCACCGCCCAAATCCCACCGCCGCCGCCTCGCCGGAAACCATGGCCGCTTCTTGCTCCCTCTTCCACTCCTCCTCATCCGCCGCCGCCGCATCCCTTCCCCGCCACCAAACCAGCTCCCAATTCCGCATCCCCACCTCCGCCCCCTACCCCCGACCCCGCCGCTCCCCGGCGGTAATCACCTGCACCTCCTCCACCCTCGACCCCGCACCTTCCTCCAACTCCGTCAAGCCCCGCCGCCCCGCCGACGAGAACATCCGCGACGAGGCCCGCCGCCACCGCGCCGCCTCCGCGGCGAGCACCTTCTCCGCCAAGTACGTCCCCTTCAACGCCGGCGGCCCGGAATCCGACGAGTCCTACTCCCTCGACGAGATCGTGTACCGGAGCCGCTCCGGCGGCCTGCTCGACGTCCAGCACGACATCGACGCGCTGAAGAAATTCGACGGCGCATACTGGCGCGACCTCTTCGACTCACGCGTCGGGAAGACGAACTGGCCGTACGGCTCCGGGGTCTGGTCCAAGAAGGAGTGGGTCCTCCCCGAGATCCACCCGGACGACATCGTCTCCGCCTTCGAGGGCAATTCCAACCTCTTCTGGGCCGAGCGTTTCGGCAAACACCTGGTGGGCATGGACGATCTGTGGGTGAAGCACTGCGGGATCAGCCACACGGGCAGTTTCAAGGATTTGGGGATGACGGTGCTCGTCAGCCAGGTGAACCGCCTCCGCAAATTGAACCGCCCTATCGTTGGGGTCGGCTGCGCCTCCACCGGCGACACTTCCGCCGCGCTCTCCGCCTACTGCGCTTCCGCGGGGATCCCTTCCATCGTCTTCCTCCCGACCAACAAAATCTCCATGGCGCAGCTGGTCCAGCCCATCGCCAACGGCGCCTTCGTGCTCAGCATCGACACCGATTTCGACGGGTGCATGAAGCTGATCCGCGAGGTGACCTCCGAGCTCCCCATCTACCTCGCCAATTCGCTCAACAGCCTGCGGCTCGAAGGCCAGAAGACCGCCGCCATCGAGATCCTGCAGCAATTCGACTGGGAAGTCCCCGATTGGGTCATCGTTCCAGGGGGAAACTTGGGGAACATCTACGCCTTCTACAAAGGATTCAAAATGTGTCAAGAACTCGGCCTCGTCGACAAGATCCCGCGCCTGGTCTGTGCTCAGGCTGCAAACGCCAACCCGCTCTACCGGCATTTCAAATCCGGGTGGGGGACGGATTTCAAGCCGGTGAAGGCGACCACCACGTTCGCTTCCGCTATTCAGATTGGCGACCCTGTTTCCATAGACAGGGCCGTCTACGCCCTGCAGAGGTCGAACGGGATCGTGGAGGAAGCGACGGAGGAGGAGCTGATGGATGCAATGGCGCTGGCGGATTCCACTGGGATGTTCATTTGCCCACACACTGGTGTTGCCCTGACTGCGTTGATGAAGCTGAGGAAGAGCGGCGTGATAGGGGCGAGCGATCGGACCGTGGTGGTGAGCACGGCGCATGGGCTGAAGTTCTCGCAGGCGAAGATCGATTACCATTCGAAAGCCATACCGGAGATGGCTTCGCGGTTCGCTAACCCGCCGGTGGAAGTGAAGGCTGATTTCGGGTCGGTGATGGATGTGTTGATGAAGCACCTGGGAGATAAAGCTCCCAAGTAGAAAGAGTAAAAAGGCTCCTGCTTTGTACTACACTAGTGCCATTGAAGGTTAGCTGAAGAGGCGTGCCCCTTGTTTGAAGTTTTTTGCAGAAGCTTTTTGGCGGGTAGGATTGTTGTTTGGTTGGTTGTTCTTTTCGCTGTTTCTCTTCCAGTACTTGAACTGTACGTGAAATGCAATATATATATGTAAGGGTTTCTTTCCGTTTATATGAACAAAAATAATGAACGGAGGAGATTACCAGCTTCTGTATTCTATGTATGAGTTCTCTGTCGTGCATACTTAGCTCATTCCTGTTCTTCATCTCCAGTTTCGACAGCAGCTAAATCAAAGCTTCTTCCATGTCTATACGGTTTCAGCTCCTCGCAGAACCATAAGCGATAAGGATCTTGGCTACCATCAGCTGCTGAAATTGAACTTGAACAAGATCTCTGACAAGTTAAGTAGAGTGAAGTAGCATTCTGCAGCAGGCCAAGGACAGAGAGATAGGACTGCAATGGCCTCTGTTCATTGTCTGCAGAATTCGCATTGATTTTTATATTTTGATATCAATCCATGCACATGATCTTCACAACATCAGGTTGTAATGATTGCTACACATACAGCTCGTGAAACTAGAACAAGAACTAAATGAGATATAAAAAGAAATCACCATCCTCTTCCTCTACCTGGATTCGATAAACAGTAAATGAGAGGCAAACTGGAAACTGAAGACATTCAGGTTCAGTTGAAAAAAGTCGATACCATTCTCTCTTAAGTATTCCATTGACATGTGGTTCGAGAAACAAAAGAAAAAAAAAACTACAGAGAAACAGTGCGCCGATAGAGTACTGTTTCGTTATCACTCTCATCCTCCTCGTCCGATTCTGATACAATCTCATATCTTCCTGGTAACTGTAACTTCCCGCCCATATCGAAAGAAGGACCTACAGTCTCTGATTCAAGACAACCATCCTGCAACCTTTCCTCAAACATCTGGTCGCTACAGTTGAGGAGGCTATCCAGTGAACACCTGATGCCTTTGCTTTTCGCCAGCTGATATCTGGGCTTGATTCTGGACTCCAACCCATAAGTGAAGTATTCAGGGAAATCGACAAGCTCCTTGATTGGCCGTCCCATTTCACTTTTCAAAAAGTAGAAGCTGTTCTTCATGAGTGCAACCCTTGATGCAAGCACCTGTGGACATTTCACAATCATCTTGGCAACATCGTGAGGCGGGATACTCCTCTCCAGAAGAAACTGAGCGGGTTTTAGTATAACCTGTTGACTAAGGCTAACAATCTGAGGCATCTTCTCGATCACTTGAGCAAACCCTTCTGGATCTACCTTGAGCTTCAAGCCAAAGAAATATTGTTGTGAAGATAGCTTAGCTTTCAAAGGCACCCCGAGAATCTGTGGGTACTGCGCTATAACTGAAGCAAGTGCTTCTTTCCTAACCCCGAAACTTATCAAACAATCTACATTCGGCTTCATAGTTTCTTCAAGATTATATCCGAGAATATAAGCCCGCTTCTCCAACATCCTGGCTACAATCTTTTTAGGCAAACCCAAAGAAACCATATAATCAACAAACGGCTTGATCACAGTTCCCACTCTCATCCCCAAGAAGTAAGGGTACTGTGTCACCATTGGTCCAATATCTCTTGGACTAACACCAATACTAACAAGAAAAGCCACAGAAGTGCTCATCGTCCCTTCCAGCTTGAACCCAAGAAGCTCTGGATACTTTTGAAGAACAAATCCAATATCCTGCTTTTCGACATCAAGCCCACGAAGGAACTTAACAACAGGCATAAGCTCAACTACAACACTCATGTGCAACACTTGCGGGTAACTCTTCACAAACTCGCCAAGTTTCGACCTACTTATCCCAATCTTCTCCAAGTAACCCAATACAGGGATAATGTTCTTCCTGACACTGCAACCTAGCATCAAAGGGTACTCATTGAAATCATCAACGGTCAATCCCAACCTCTGCAAGAACTCGACTCGCTCCTTCATAACCTGGACCGTGGAAGGAAGCTCCAGACTCTCCAGCTCATCAGGGATAATCCCCAAACTTTTGAGATAATCACATATAATGACACGATTGACAAGCTTCTCTTTCTTTCCCTGAATCACGCCCCAAGTGACTGAAGGCATCTCGTACTCGGGGAATTTGGAAGACTGGGTCGAAAATGACGCGACGGACTGCCAAACCCTCGAAGGGTTTAGTGATTGAGGGTTTTGGCGACATGGGTTTTCTAGGGTATGAAATAAGAACGAAAGAGAGGTGAGTTCTCTGCAAAATTGCGGCGGGGGAGCTCTAGGGTTGCTGAATACCGATAATAATAACTTCCTTCTCCTGAGCAATGACAAACTCATCGTATCTGAAAAACCAGAGTTCCTATTTGCACAAACACTGAGAACAATCGGGTTCTTCTGTTCTTGCTCACCTTGCGCGAATGCGGAGCAGACGAGTGAAGCTTCGGGTATCTCCTGTTAACCCCGACGGCCGAGTTCTGGCGGTGGATAGACGGAAATGTTTTCTCGGCTGAAGGCTGGGAGCTTCCGGATTAGAAAGGCAAAAAGAACACTGCTGCGCCCGTAAAGCTTCGGGATTTTGGGTGTACAATAATAAACTCTTTGATGAAGCCTTGTGAAAATACCAGGTTGTCAAACCAATGTGCTCGGTGATACAATTGGTTACACCAATTGAAATATGTTTTAGCAAGTGAGAAATAATTAACACTAAATTAAATGTAGACATTTATAATTATATTTCACGTAAAGACAATCTCTAAAATTTAGATCCGTATCTAAATAAATTACAACATTTCAAACAAAAATGAAAACATTTTCATATTTGAATACAAAATTTATGTTAAAGATCCAAAAATTATACTTAACCCAACAAATAACATAAGCATCTAAATATGCATATTTAAATCCAACAATATCTTTGGTTTTACTGGTATGAACAACATTCCAACCAATTTTGTAACGGATATCGATTGAACCCAGTTGTACCGACTGTCTGGCTGACATGTCACGGCATAACAACCATGGAAAATACTGAACTATCGAAAAATCTCTTATATTTTCTTTCCTTTCTTTGATTAGCTTGTTCACTTGCTTAAAAAATTCTAAGGCGTTAGATCAACGTGACTTAACAATTTAACAAGCACATATTACATCATTCTTGTTTAACGATAGAGTTTTGCTTTAGTTGAAGCTGATATCCAACTCCCTAGGTAGGGTACATGGATTGTGATTGTCTATCAATTTGTGTTCAATGTTTTGTTGTCTAAAAAGTTTTTCTAATCGATATTTAGTATAGAAAATTTTGATACTCAAGTCAGAGTAGTGAAGAAAGATAAGCATGTGGGTTTTGAAAGGACGATAAATTTTTTGATTTAGAACCAAATTGCTTCAAAATACGAACTCGAGGCAAAACCAAACACAAAACACTTCTTTAAAAGCTTCATCCAAAAGCTGCTTTTGCAAGAGCTATATCAAAGCCAAACACCTCATAGACAGCTAAAATTGGTGCAGGAAATAAAACCTTTCCATAGATCGAGTAGACACAAAACTCCAACACTGCATTTCAAACGATCCAGTCCAACACAAAAACACTACATTGTATGAAGGAAAATGACAGAAGGTCAACGTTCTTTTCTTTCTACAAACAAAATCAGCTTCACTAGTTCCTCGTTCAAGAATAATCATACAACGATATGCTCTTGTCGTCGCAGACACTCGCCAGCCGTCCACCACGCACTCCGGTCCCTCCAGGGGGACAAAACGTCACAGCCCAAACCTGGTCAGTGTGGTTGCTCATCGTCTGCAGAGCAGCCCTCATCTTGAGATCCCACAGCCTCACTGTCCTGTCACTCGACCCCGTGGCGATAGCATTACCGTCGGGGCTCGCATCCACGCTCAGCACCCAGCTGGCGTGGCCCGACATGGACGAGACTAGGCTCTTTCCCTCGGCGTCGTACATGTGGATGTGAGCATCGTCGGATGCTGAGAACAGGACCCGTGGGTCGACTGGGGAGTACACGAGGGACCGCACGGGCATGGAGTGGCCTTCCAGGTGGTGCATAAACTTCTCCCGGGCCACATCAAAGACGGAGATTGTGCCGTCCATTGAGCCGCACGCAATTGTTCTGCCGTCGGGACTCCAAGCCACCGACAGGACGAACTTCTTGCTGGTGTTCTTATCGGAGGGCTTCGGCACTTCGGGGCGAGGAATGGTTAAGGTAGAAGTCAGCTTCCATGTGGATGTGTCCCATACTTTGATGGAAGCGCTGCCTCCACCTGCAACTGCAAGTTTGGTGCCCTGCGCGTATTGACAATGATTCTTATTAGAAACATCTATCATTCAGTAACAAAAACCAACAGTACAGGACAAAGCATTCATATGGATAGTTAATCTAGCTTCAGTGTGAAGCATTGCCATTTTACATTAAAAAAATTCCAAATCCTTTGCTCAGCATACAGTTGATAGGCATGGTCAAGCTGCATATCCACGTGTGTAGTCGAAACGAGTATGAGATGCTTTCATCAAGCCAATTCTAGATCGAAGAATATTGAGCAGCTGATGGATATACAAAAACAAGTTACCCAAACCATTCTACAACAGAGCAATGGCTTCTGCACAAGTTCGTTTTAAGAATGAAATTCAATCTCATTCTGATAATCACTTCAAGGGTCTATCCTACCATTCCACTTTCACAGCCTCTTCCATCAAATGGAAAGGACCTAACCAAGCAGGTCCTCGTGAATGTTCATTGGACTCGGCCATATGCGGCAGAAAAATGAAGCCGGAGAATGGAGAAATGAGATCATAGATTTGATGATGCAAGTAAAATAGAGGCGAGGATCAAGCTGAACAAAGATCGTTCATAAAGTGCGATAACACAGAGCTGATTCGGGAGTGAGGCAAGAATAGCAAATCACCGTCAGATTGATGACAAAAAGAGCTGATTTGGAAGAGAGCAAGACTTGACTGTTAAAAACCAAGCAACATAGATAACAATCATAAGTAAGCTATAATTCTGGACTTGAAACTGAGACTCAGGTTGAGGTTATGAGTATACCATTATAACTATGGATAGCTAAATTCCTCTTCTTCACACCTAGATTAAGCCCCAAAAGAAAGAAGCTTTGGGGGCTCTATTGTCTCTCTGTACATACCATAAGTTGCCACAGAGCAAGACTTCACCAAAGAATTTGGTTAGGAAAGCAAATCCCGCCCTTTAACACTGAGATTCTATCATGTAACAACATTAGAGAGTATAACCAGCTCTGCCTAGGAAACAATCAATCTAGTTCTAAGGCAACCCAGGCTCAAATTCCAGAATCACGAATCAATAAGCAGGTAGGGCCTGGGAGGGAGATCAGTGCTTACCTTGGGATGGAACTGCATTTGCCAGACTTCGGAAGGAGGAGCTTCGAGAGTGGCAATGGTTGCGTTGGTGTTGACATCGAAAACTCGAACGAAGCTGTCGAGCGACGCGGAGGCAGCTATGATGCCGGAAGGGTGTGCCGCGACGGAGACGACGCCGAGGCAGTGGCCCGTATTGGTCCCCGCGAGGTTGAGGTCGTCCGACTTCCACAGCTTGACGGTCTCGTCGAGTGAGCCGGTGAGGAGTAGCGCCGGCCGGCTGGAGGTCGCGGGGACCCACGTCGCCGCCCACACCGATTCGTCGTGGGCGCCTTCGACGGATTTTATACCGGCGAGCTTCATGGATTTCGATTTGGTCGTTCGGTTTGGTTGGCTATTTCCCGGCGAGAAGGGGAGCGATTGAATGCATAAAACCCTAACCAGAGTGGCGGCAGCGGTTTGACTTGACCCGTCTGGTGTTTTAGTTTGCCATGTTTGGTAACGGAGTGATTGAAAATTCGGAGTTTCCCGGGTTACCGTTAAAAAGTTGCCTTATTGTTTCCCTTCGTACTAGGGTCTTCATACCTCGCACACTAAACTTCTATTTAACGTCATAACTTTTTAAAAATTTTATCTTAAACTTTACTTAAACAGTCGATTCGACTCCAAAATCTCTAAAACGGTCGCGCCCAATCCCCAAAATACTTCGTCAATCCATCGCCTTGATCCCTAACTTAACACTGCTCCGCCCGTCGCCGACGTAATTCTCTCTCTGATTCACTAAATTTAATGCTAGTCAATGCTAAAATGTTGTGTCTAGAGGTTTTACAATGAGTTAGAAATTCAGGATGCAACAACCAAGTACGACAAGTCGACAACATCTAGACTTTGTTTAGATGGAACTAGATATTCAATATCTAAATGAGAATGTTAAAATCATCTACGAAACTCAATCTTTTCAATAACTTGTAAACTTTGTGAACTCTTAAGCAATAATTCTATGAACCTGTTAAATATTTTTCTTATTCTTAAGTGTTAAAAGATAATTTGAATTGAATAGAAGTGTTGGAAAACAATGACTTCATTCAAAATTTAGTATAAAATGCTATTTTTGCTTAAATTGTCTAAACACGCTTAAGCGACACCTAAAACTAAACGAACTCTATATTAGATTATCCAAATACTAGCATTACGGGCAACGCCTTCTTGAACCCGTTCACTAAGGGTGGGCAATGGGCGAGTTGGGTGGGTTTTCGTCTCAAATTGACTCAACTGCTTACTAGCGAGTTGATTTTGACCCACAATCCACCCGCGTTGTTCTGCGGGTCGGGTTGGGTGAGTGACAGATGGGTGCGGTTGGGTCGTGCGTTAACTCGCAAAAGCAATTCTCAAATTAGCCATTAAGAAAGTTGACTAACATTTATAACAAGTTCATAGCGAATTCGGAAGGCTGTATCAATTTAGACACTTGTCACTTTATCTCAAGTGAATCAATGCAGTATTTGCATACAAAAATTTACTACTCTATCAAACAATTGTATAGAGAAAACTTATGCATTTTGTGATCCTGATACAATTGATAATTTATAGTTTTCATCCCAGTATTTAATTATATTAACAATAATTCGCATTCCAATATCCAATATCCAAGAATGGATATTAAACAACACAATAATCAATAATAGTAGTCAAAACTATTATTTGTTCTCCACCTTTAGAAGTATATGGTCAGAATATAATGTGGTTTGAAAATACGATGAATATTTGATACTACAAGAAACAATATTTGTTCATGTGAAAATAGAATGCAGGTCATTCGGGTGACCCGCAATCCACCCACCACTCACCCACATAAGTGCGGGTGAGAGATTTATCAATTCGCAATCCACCCACAACAATCACTCACTACTTGCATGTCCGGTTATTTGTGAGTGGATCGATATTAATCCGCGGATTAACCACCCACACACGTGCCCACTAGTACCTACCGTTCACAACGTAAAGTCGTAAACACATACTCGGTGAATGTTATGTAGGGTCTCCAAACTTCCATCTTTTCCCTTTCGGCCCATGATCTTTATTTTTTTCGCTAATGAGGACCCCGCATCTGCTCTCCTACCAAACAGCGCGAAGAAGGAGAACAAAACCCTAATCCCTGCAAGCCTAAAACCCTCTGCTGGTTCGTTCAAGCTTCACTGACTTTCAGAGGCCAGTCCTTTCCTTTCTCGTTGCGTCTCTAAACAGTAAACTCTGATCGAATTTGAACCGTACCAGTGAGAAAAACCAATCAAACAAACAAATGGTGTGGTTTCAGTGTGATGACTGCGGCGAGGAAGTGAAGAAGCCCAAGCTCTCTAATCACTTCCGCATGTGCTCCGCTTCTAAGGTTTCGAACGCCTGTTCTTCCATTTATCTTCAAAGCCCAGAACTTTGATTCGCAGAATTGATAATTTTCGTATGCGTAGTCTCTTTTAAGTAATTTGTCGGCTGTTCTTGTTGCAGCTATCGTGTATTGATTGTGGGGTGACTTTCGGCCCTGACACCGTCCAGGGCCACACTCAATGCATCAGTGAGGCGGTATGTTTCTGCTTCTTTTCCCCATTGTTTTCTGGTTCTGATTGCGATAATGAATTATGGGCTGGCGAATTTTGAATGGCTTTTTGCCTCCAGCTGGTTGATTGGGAGATTAGTGATGTTCAATGGCGATTTGCAGGAAAAGTATGGTCCCAAAGGACAAGGGAAACCAGCTGTAAATGGAGCAACGCCTAAATCCAAGGACTCGAAGCAAAAGCCTGATGTTGATATCAACGTTGGTTTGTCCCTCCGCCCGCCATGGAATTGCAGGTGAGCTCGACTACTTTGCATTAGCGCAGGGTAGATGAATATGTCTTACGAATCACGTTTTTGGGGTGTTTTGATTCTTACTGTCGGCCTTGAGAAATAGATTGTTGGATCTGACTCTGTTTGGGTGGCTGATGTAAAAGTGAGTTTGATAATTCTTTCAATAGAATGTATGCATGATAGTTTCGAGAATATCTATGCATATCCCGGATGACTGGATTATCTTGGTTAAAACTTATGATATCGCACCTTGCTGGCGAAATCATCTAAGATAGCGAGCACAAGAAGAAGCAGATTAATTCCAAGTCAAGTGGACGGCATTCTGCATCTGTAATAGACGTGTGCGAGTGTAGCTCTTTTGTCTCCAACATTTCTTCAGGTGGAACTAGCATACATGTTTGTCATTGCACTTTTGTCTTAGATCTCAATTAACTGATCCACGAAGTACAATTCTGAATGCTGCATGGAGAAATAAAAGTATCTCAAGCCAAAGTTTTGCTGTTATTTACCAAGTTGTAGCATCTTATTTGCCAGTTGTTCTTCTTTTCTTATAGTCTATGTAATACCAAAGCCACAAGTAAGCAGGCTCTTCTTTTGCATGCTGATGGAAAGAAGCATCGAGCAAAGGCCCGAGCCTTTCATGCTGGCAGGCAACCTAAACAGACTGGAGATGTTGTAAAAGAGAGCACCCCTATTGATTGCAATGCTACAGGCAATGGATCGGGTGAGAAAGCTGCATCCGATGGTGCAGATACTGATGGAAAACTGGAGGATGGGCTTTTACCATCAGAAAAGAAGAGAAAACTAGATGTGTCAGATACTATTGGTAATGTTAGTGTGAAAAAGGCCAAGGGTGAAACAGACGGTAAATCGAAGAAAGTCAAGCAAAACGGGACTACTACTGATAAGAAGTTAGAATCTGTCAGTCCAGAAGAACATACCGAGAACAAGATAAAGTGGAAGAAGTTGATCAAGGCAGCCCTGAAATCCGTACGTATCTCCCATAGCGGTTTCTAATTGCTGATTGAATCCCTCTCATTTTACTTTAATCTAGCTTCAATTTAAACCACTACTATCAGATAATTTCAAGTGTCTAAAGTGTTTTTCCTTGATGCTTAGCTTAAATTGCAACATCATACATTATCTTGCTCGTACTTGATTTCAATTATGATGTCTGTGTCACAGAATCCAGACGGAGCTATGAAAATGAAGAAACTGGAGAAACATGTGAAAAAGTCGCTCCAGGAATCAGGGAAAGGTGTAGATCATGGTGAACTTGGCAATATTCTTCAGCAAAAGGTATTGTATTTTGTTCTTGTAGCATATGTTTTTTGCTAATTAGCTGTAACTTCATAATTGTGCCGCTGGAATGTAATTCTAATTTTCTTGTTTGGTGTGGTGACAGATCAATTCAAACTCCAGATTCACAATTGATGGCAAATACGTCAAGCTTGTGGCCAGAGTCTAAAACAGTAAAACTGGATTCTTGGCATTTGGCGAGGTGATACTTGTGGTTGGATGGAAATCATAGAGGTTTCAGATAGTTTTGCCGGCTGATTCTTGTTTTGTCTCGTGATGAGATCTCTTGTACCAAATGCGGCCACTTTTCTAGTCTCTTTTCTAGTCTCTGGAGTTCATTCGGATACTGTTTCATCAATTTTTAGCAGTTGAGCCTAGTTATAGAGCCCAGAACTTCCTTTGTGCTACTTGAATCTCGTAACTTTATTCTTCATGGCTTCATTCTCATTTGCATTTCAATCGAAACCTTACAAAACATTCACCGGTATGAAATTACAATTGCAGGGCAACGTAAACAAACTTGTATGGCGAAATCGATACTTTACAATTCGAGTCTGTACGTATGAACTAGGCACTCTATGTAACACTGTCGTTCTTCCAATGTAGCCACCAACTAATGGGTGCATTTCTCTTGCGCCTTTTCCTTTCCCCTGGAGTGATCTCAATCCTTGAATGTTTGAAAGTTAAAACAAGAGACAATAAGCTAGTATGAACACCAATATAACAGAGCAACCCATTGCCTGCAAGCCAAAAACCAAAACAGAACACGATTAATCTCAAATTAATAGCTCGGGCATTTTCCATTCCCATCAACAGAGCAGTTAGTTATAAAAATGGTGAAAGGGTTCTGCTTACAGCAATTGCTGCTGCAGCGAGGCCTGCTCTTTCCCTGGGATCTTTGCGGTAGCAGTTTCCGAAGTAAAGGATTGTAGCATAGTACCACATGAGTGGGAACAAAAACCCGGAAAGAAAGCTGAAAGCACCCCGAAAAATCAAGAGTACATAATTCTTAGTAGCTGCAACATGTGGAGAGTTTCAAGGACGGGTAAGAGAGGAGGGAGAGAGGCACTCACGAAAACCACCCTATTCCACAACCAAAGCAGGGAAGGGGCTTATCAAATGCACCCCCTGCTAGGAAATCTTCAGGATCTCTGATTAGCGTGTACTTTCCCTTTTCCTGCTCCAATCCTTGCGGTGGCGACGGTTGCCCTAAAATAAATTCCAAGTTTTGTTGAAGATGTCTATCAAGCAGGAAACCAGTGTTTTCCCGACGAAACTAATTATAAAATATGAAATGAATCCATAAATGCAAGGAAAACCATACAATGAAAAAAAGAAGAGAGAAGTTAAGCCGCATAGAGCTTATAGATACCGAAACCAATATTGGGACAAACAACAGAGACATACATAAGAAATGCAAGAGAAGGAGACACTAGTCACAGGTGCATGTGCATTCAATCATGACTTCGACGTCTTTGACCTAAGACGACATGACGAGGCAGCTGGACGCGGTTGATAAATAAAAACCACGGCCAGAAAAATTTCAGGAGGCAAAGGTCATCATGAAGGCGAAGTTCAAAGATTAAGCTTGAAAGAGGATGACATAAGACCAATTTTTTACTACACCACCAATCAAATGTATCAGATCATTCTTTGATCGAGAGAGGTCTCATGTAGGAATTCTGGCAACCAAAAAAGACATTGATTTAAGCATAAGGTCTGACATGTATGTGTAAAATGCAAACTTCACGATAACCTGGAAGCTTTCACTACGCATCAAGGAAAAGCGTGATAGATGCTGTGTTTTATTTATAAATTATTTCTTGTTTCATTGTTTAAGTTTGAATACTTGGTTAGTTATGTTCGGCCATTTATTTTAGTACTTTCTTTGTCAAAATGGGAAGTCCTTTATAACAAGAAGAGGCTTAGGTTTCTCGGATTATGAGCTTGTAACCTTATATAGGATCCTATTGTCAGAATGCAACATAAGAATAAGGAGGTTTATTTGAGTTTCTGACTTGTTTTCTTTGAGTAGATTCCCAAGTGAAGTCTTGCTCTTATATTGAAGATGCAGCCTCTCAAACACTACTTTTCTTTTCTTTTCCATAAATTTCAGCAACCAAGTTAAACAGAACCCTAGAGTTCCTACTTCCTCTTTGCGTTAGAAACCCAAGACAGGTTAGCAGAGGCATGTAAGAAAATGAGATAAGATCAATTTTGGACTTCGTTCAAGAACTCGAGTTAATGCGATAACAGAGGAACATAAGAAAGCGAAGAACAAAAGAGATGCATACCTCTGAATACTGAAAGGTTTCTAGCTGTTGGTCTCAGAAGATCCATATGTTTATCCGTGGCAGGTTTCACCAACTCAAGTCCATTCCTTAAACTTTCCTTCTCCTCAAAGCTTGCATCTGCAGCACCAAAAGAAGTGTAGCCCATGGTGAATGAGAGCTTTTCAATATCAAGGGACCAGAGATAGGTGGATCCAACGAAACAAGAAATGAGGGCTAAACTTCGTAAAGCACAATCTAATCATCCTGGTATTAACAATTATTCCTGCTTTCACTAATGCCATATCACCACTAACGCTAACTATATCAGAGTTCGCTTATCTCTCCCCTCGCTCACCTAGAACAAGCAAGCAATTTGGTGCAGGAAAAGAAGTGAATATGACTATGCAGGACCGTTTACAAGAGCAACATATACGGAATTATATCATAACGAAGAAGTAAATTGCAAAAGAGGGGACCTTTACTTCTATCCATGAGTGGTTCAGTCGAGCCTCCTTCAGCCAGCATGAAACCCACAAAAAGAATCTGAAGAAAGAGGAGTGAGTCAGTCTTCAATTTCTACACCCTCAACGCAGTGACAATGATCAAACTATCATGGAATCAGTTACTGGCATTCAATATAGTATCCAAGTATTCAACATGAATGCTAAGGAGGAAATAGGAATTGAATTTCGCTAAAGGAATTGTGGGGAAGTCTCTTAATCTAACTCAATAAACTTAAACAAAGTATAAAAATCCCTCTTCCCGCCACAACTTCCCCATCTGATCATGGTTACCATAGGACTAACACAATGCTGTGGGTTGATAGACCATGAAGCTGCAGAATCGTTTCTTGTGGCAACTTCCTTAAACAACATCAGCAGTTCATGCGCATAAAAGATCCATAAGCTCCGGGACTGCTACGACCCATCTCCGTCCCCATAGATACAATACGCCATTACAATTGACAGCCCAAAGCCAGTAGTATCCAAAAACAGGTCTTTTGCCAGAACCCACCAATAGCAAAAGCTCATCATCGCTTCAAAAAGAAAGATAATAGCAGCGAAGAGGTTCCCTTAAGAAACTCGATCTCCTTCCTAAACTACAACGCCACAATTCCACAGGGATTGACTAGCTTATGAACTGGGAGCTACAAAGATAATTCATCCAAAATCACCCACGAAAACACACATACAGCCTTTCCAACCACCCAAAGGAAAAGCCTTTTGAGTGCTAAGCGAAGAAGGGCAAAAGGAAAGTAGCTATAACTTGCCTTGGAAGATCAGGAACCCAACTGAGTTTGCCGAGGCTGCGATGAAATTCTGGTTGCAGAGGTCAGCCCTGGCCGGCAGATCAGCGGGCGGGGGAAGTTGATACCAAATAAAGAGGACTGACTATGAAGGGGTTTCCTTCCTTTTCCTTGTTCTCTTGCCCTTGATTGCCCTTGTCTTTCTCTGTTGATTGGCGGTTCATTAATACGGAAGCGAAAGATGTGAAGGTTAGGGCGAGGTGTTTTACATGACAAGCAAAGGAGACGGCCATTGTAGAATTTTTTCGTTTTTGAGATGAAGCTGAGTGAAGAAGATTGACCCTCCCGCTGTCTTCTTCCCACCAGTTGCGTAGCGGAAAATAACTTCTACCGTGACACAATTTTCTTTTTAATCTGAGATTTGAAAATAGAATACAAGAAAAAACTCTCTACCTTATAAATCTTTTGCCACAAAATTACATAAATCAAATGAAAATAACTCTAAAATCTAAATTAGATAGAGAAATGGTTTTTCTTGTTATATAATGGGCAGATCGACTGGCGGTTCTAGGTACTACACAAACCTCTATACCTATGTCTAGAGCAGCGATCATTCGACGACTGTCAATGAGCATCGGGTCTCCAATTGCATATGACTCTATCCATCTGAGTAGTTGGTGCATAACGACTTCAGAACTCCCTTCTAGCATGACTCCACAATTACACAATTTAATAACAAAAATTTTCAAGGATTTACAAATCTTAGCAAAACTTTTCGGAATACAAATAACTAGTCAACTGTTAAGTCTTTATTGAAATTTCATTAGTTAAGACTGAGCTGGCGACTACACGGCTGAGCTGGAAAAAAGTTGGTGATGTGGCGGTTAATAAGATAATATCAACTCAATCAACAAGTGAGTTGTGGGATGGAAAATAAATAAGATAGTTGAACATTTCGATCTAATTTTTTTCCTACAAGAAGTATCAAAACCAACGTTATTCCTCGTATGCTTTGTGGTTGCAACACAGGCAGATCTTACACATCATAAAGGGTTTGTGCCTTGTTATCAGAATGGGTTCAACCGAGAGTCAATAGTGACGATATCCCCATCAGGCGGTCATAGGCTACACTTATTTCAGTATTACCGAAATAGAGAATTCAGAGAAGTTACCAAGTAAGAAGATGAAGGGTATTTCAGTTAACGCTATAGAGAAGTTACACAAGACCAACTACTCAAGTTGGTCGATGCAAGTTTGACCGCCTGATGGGATTTTCAACCCATGATCGATGCAAGTTTGACAAAAAGCGGTCCGGTGCATTTTTCTGGCCTATGACGATTGACGACCAACAAAAAGGATGGAGATGTTTTTATCCAACAACAGACGTCAGACAAATGTTATGTGTCACTCAATGTGGTGTTTGATGAAGCATCCTCTTGGTGGTCACCATAAATAGTCCTACTTCCATACTCAAAGGAGATGGAGGAAAGGCTGCTAGAGAGGTCTAGTGAAGAGGAAGCGAAACGTGCATAGAATGAACAAAGAGAAGGTTATGCAGGAGCTCAATCTCAATCTCACTCATAGAAGAAGATCGATTTAGTCAATTGGAGGATATAGTTGATCATCCACAAGAGCTCAAAATGTCAAAAAGAGTTAGAAAAACAACTCCAATATTTGCCAATGTAGCTGTAATATAATATATTGGTGTTAAAGAACCAACGTCTTACGAAGAAGCAAAATACACGGTGAATGGATAAAAGTTAAGGAAGAAGAGATTCAACCTATCGAGAAGAATCAAACATGGGAGCTCGTACCAAAGACTAGAGATGTTAAACCCATTTCCTACAAATGGGTTTAAAAACCGAATACCAAGTTAGATGGATCAATTGAGCATTTCAAGACTTGATTGGTGGCCCACGGATTTTCTCAACAATATGGTTTGGATAACAACGATGGTGACCGAGATGACGAGTGGTATATTTGGGCTTGAAATCCCCCCTCCCTCCCAAAAAAAAGTTATAGATCACCACTTAACATGTTAAACTCATTTATTTTGTGTAAATTTTTTAAAATTTGAGTTGAAAATGATGGTAGTACATACTGATATCAGAATGGTAATGACTAACGACTAACGAGTAGTAATTTGTGATACAATATCAAAAAATATATTAATACCAAACTCTAAATCTAATTTCACTCGAACAAAAAAATAATATAATTTCACTCAAAATAAAAGAAAATAAAATGTCAAAATCTAGACCCTTACATTCAGTCCAAGGTGTAATCTGAATCCTGAGCCCTCGATCCGGCGCTCGGAAGGATGTCCAAGCCCGCCACCATAAGGCTTTCAAATCTGTAGGCCCATACAATTTTCAAAGACCCCAGCCGACCGTGTTTAATTAGGCCCATTTGGAAGATAGAAACATCAAAGCCCAGTATTTGTTCGGTAACCCATACCGACCCGACCCGCCAAACTGCTCGATCCAACTCGATCCTTCACAAAAACTCTGTTCATCTGTTCTTGATTCTTGAAATAACTCGTTCTCTGAACTTCGGAAGAAAATCCCTGGAAACGCTTTTTACTTCATTGGAGGTTTCCGAGCTCATCACTGTTCAGCTCTTTTCCCCTTCCTTCAGGCAAGTTTGAGGTACTAGAAGTTTGATTTTTCCAGAGTTCTTAATTTTACTAAGTAATTGTCGCGTACCTTCTTTCCTTTTTACTGAAGAACCGAGTGATTTCATCCTCCTGCGCGATCATTGCGTCCGCCGTCGACATTGCTTTAGCTCCATAGCTTTGAACAGGACCGAGTCATGCTTGACGATGTATTTTTTCTGACCATTTGTCTTGAATTGATGTAGTACCCTGTAGAGTTTATACCCTGATTTAACTGTGTACTCCCCCTCTTGGGGTCAATGTCCTGATCCTTTCATCTTGTTTGAAAGGATTCTGCAATGGTGTTTTAGAAATATAAGTTTGGTCTTCTTCTGAGAAGAGAGAGCGAATCCGATCCTGATTCCATGTGCAATCTTCCCTGTTAATTAAGTCCGAAACACTTAGAATAGGTTCACCCCTGATTGGAACTTGAACAGGGCAGAAACCTTCCCAGTTGGGGATCCATTTGTCTTTTGAGACCCATCACCCACCCTCCATCTTAAACCTTCCTGTAACAAATCTTTGGCTCCCATTAAGCTTCTCCACACAAAAGATTGCAATGTATCCTACTTTGGCTTGCAAGATAACGGTTTGTGGGAAGTAATCGGCTTTAAGGATTTTTGCCACCAAGGAACCAGGTCTGGACATGATACTCCAGATCTTTTTGCAAGCATAGGTTTGTTGAAATCCTTTAAATCCTTAAACCCTAATCCTCCTTCCTTCTTATCGTCGCACAATCTGTCCCAACTGACCCAATGAATACGAGTTTCCTCCTCTTTCTGTCTCCACCAGAAACTTGCTATAAGACTCTGTCTGGATCTCATCCAGAATACCCTCCGGTATTAGAAATACCATCATAGGATAGAGAATTTTTGCCGGAGCCACTGCTTTAATAAGAACTTCTTTTCCTGCCTGTGATAAGGTCCTTGCCTTCCAATCCTTCAGTTTTCTTCTGACCCTTTCCTTAAAACCAGCAAAAATAATCTTCTTAGATCTACCAGCCATCGTAGGAAAACCAAGATACTTGTCATGTTTGTTCACCTCTTTTATCCCAAGGACACCACAGATCTACTTCCTTCGATGTTCCTGCACTTTCTTACTGAAGGTTAGCTTTGATTTTGTTAAATTAATCTGCTGCCTGGATTCTTCCTCATAGACTTTCAATATTTCCTTAAGTTTCACTCTCTCTTCCCTTGATGATCGGGCAAAAACAATGCTATCATCCGCAAAGAGCAGGTGTGATACTTGCGGTGCTCTCTTGCTAATCTTAATCCCGTGTTTTCCATGTTTACTTCGGCTGACTTAAGTAGAGCAGAGAAACCCGCTGTACACAGTAGAAACAAATAGGGTGACAAAGGGTCTCCCTGTCGGAGTCCCCTGGATGGAGCGAATTCGCAAGTTCTATGCCCATTCACCGTTGCAGAATAAGATACAGTAGCTATACACATCATGATCAGCTCTATCCACCTCTCTTCAAACCCCATCTTTCGCATCACTTTCTCAAGGAAACCCCATTCCACTTTGTCATAAGCTTTGGCCATATCTAGCGTAGCTGAAAAAACCCCTCCTTTTACATTGCCACATCTTTTCATATGATTAAAACATTCAAACGCCATTATGATGTTATCCGTTATCATCCGCCCGCCCCAGCACGAATGCACTGTGTTTCTGAAATAATCTTTGGCAGCTTTTCTTGATTGGCTTTAATTGCGGGGGAAAAATGTCTGGTTCTTCCCGGAGGAAATTATCAGTGGTTCTTGCTTGCATTGCTTTACTTTCTTCTGGTGGTTGCAACTTAAGAGAGTTCTGGAGTTATTGTTTATGAACACACTTACACTGGTTTTCTGTGGTGGGAAACTCTTATCTGCAACTTGAGTAGTCACTACACTTGGAATTCAGCCTACTTATGGGGTTTTCAATAGTAGATTGCAAGTGAACATCATCTGTGTTGAGAATCAACGTGTTGAATAGCGCATGCCTTTGTGGCTGCATTAGGCAGGTTGGGGATGTCGAAAGATTGTGCAATCGACGAAGGGGGGAATTGATGCTTTGATTGATGATTGGATTGCGAAATGGCGTATGGAATCACTACTCTATTATGTACACTGCCTTGCTCTTTTGCAGCTTCCATTGTTCCGTTCACTTAAACAGCATTCAGTTAGTCGAGCTTACTCCATGTCATCTAAAGTCTTGAGTGTTTATGCTACTGATATGGTTATGAATCTGATGTATTTCATCTAGAATTGCTGAATGTATCCAATTGCTTACCTGAAAATATGGGCTTTTAAAGTTAAATTTGCTGTGGAACCAGCAATTTGTCTCTTGAGTATGCTGGAATCCCTGAACTGTAGTGAACACGGCTTTTAGGAGCACTTGCACTTGATAACTAGGAACTTTCTGTTCACCTATGTAAAGGCATCCTGAAACGTCTAAATGTAGCCTTGGGGCTGAAGTAGCTTTTTGAGGTTTTACTGTTAGGATCTCCAGAAGTCTCGTGTGCTTCTTTGACTATATGATATAACTGACGCAAAGCATCCTGCAAATGTTAACTGGAATTTGTTGTTGATTTGACCGACCACAATGTGACAGGTTGTGATCAAGAAAATGGAGTCAACAAATCCTGAAGCAGAAAAGTACAGAGAATTTATGGAAAAGGTGGAGCGGACTGTTTACATCGATACACTCCCACCACAAGCTAATGAATCAGTGCTGAAAACTGGGTTAGATCAGTTTGGCGATGTCAAGAATATAAGCTTCATCCCGAACTACATGGATCCCAGGAACAGCATGCGTTGTGCATTGGTTGAGATGAAGGACCCTAATCAGGCAAAAAATGTCATCAAAACGCTGACTGATTCCCCGTTCATGATTGCTGGCATGCCAAGGCCAGTGAGGGTGCTTCCTGCTGAGCTGGAGATGTTTGATGACCGTCCAAGAAAGCCCGGCAGGAAAATAACATTCAAGTGGTTGGAAGCAGACCACCCAGACTTGAAGGTCGCGAAAGACATGAAGCGTGCTGTTGTAAGGCATGCTACTGAAGCTGCATTGGCCCATAAGGTAGAGCTTGTTGCACTTGGAACTTGGAAGAAGCCCTCGTTATGTCTTTCCTTTCATGGTCGAGTCTATAATAGGTCGATTTTTAATCTGTAGCTTTCCTAAATGCTGTTTTCCCCCCTTCTCTTTTGCTTTCTCCAGCAACATCTGGAGGAAGAAGAGAAGCTGCATAAACAGCAAGTGGAGATCCTGAAAGCTAATTACAAGAAGTATGAGGTGGTGGATGGTGTGATAAGCGACGGGACAGCTCAGCGTGTGGCGAAGAGATACGGTATGAGAGTTGCAGATGATTAATCAGGTCCTCTAAAGTGATGTATGCATACAGTAGTAGTTCCAGTTAAACTTACAGCAGCTTGAGTTAGAAGTTAAAAAGCCTGATCTTAGGTTATGATTTGTATGAACAGCAGCAGCGGTTTAGGTAAATTACTGATCTTGTTCCAGTTATGCATACAACAGCAGTACATACATAGCAGCAGGCTTATTACATACTCATTACACTCTAAACTATCATTGAACAAAGTAAATACATACTTCTGAAAAACTCTAAACTATCATCTAGTTCACCAAGGGAAACCCTTAACATTCTCCAAACTAAAACTTCATTACTCATACAAGCAATGCATACTTTCTCCACTCGAGAACAACCCTTAACATTCATCAAACTAAAAACTTCATCACTCATAGAAGCCAAGATACTTCGCCGCTCGAGATGATCTTCTTTCCATTGCCGCGCTACAACTTTGGAGTCCAACGGGACATTAAGTGGGTTGTTCGAAATACTTGAACTTGGTGGGATCATCCCTGAATCATCATCTTCACCACCAATTTTAAATCTGCAAATTGGCGATCAACTTGTATAATTCATCTTCTTTTGTCAACCATATCAGGAACATATCACCATTCAAACAAGTCACAATGACCCTGTAAGCCAAAAGAAAGTAGAAATTAGTTCATCCTTTCAAAGACAAGAATTTGCTTCTCTGTTTTGCGTCAATCTGTTTAACCATTAATGCTACAATCTTCGCCTAATTCATACAACCTTCTACTTTGATTTCTAAGCCGAAGTTCTGTTTCCTTGTAGCTACAATGCTCAGGGCTTGAGGACTTTCGTCGAAGCTGTTGTTCTGGTGAGCATTAGGGTTATTCTTGGCTATCTATTTCCTTCAATTTAGGTGTCGCATATCATAAAATTGGTTATAACTTCTAACAATATAAGATAGAGCACACACTCAATTGAATCGTGACAGTACGAGGCAAATTTTGAGATAAGCGTCATGCACTGTTTTTATTCTTCGTGACAAGGGTATTTCAAAGAAGTTCGTATAATAATGTTGTGTGCATGAATTCTGTTTGTACCACGCAACAATTTGTACGAAAATATGTAAATACAAGCTGAATTTGTACTATAACGATAAAGTTCAAATTCAGTTTGTACCATAAAACAGACTTTTTGTTAACGAAAGCATAGATATAACGGATTTCCAAAGTACAGACTGACATACAATATCATGCCCCAAATTATAATTTATTTTGTTTCAACTACTAAATTTAGATATTCGTTCGGAAAAAAAAATTGATCTGCATAATGCTATCCATTTTGATATATATTGAAAAACAAAACTTCCAAAAATAGTCACAATCATATGTCCATGAGTCACTCTCAAATTCGACAACTACTAAACTATATCAATATCATTCAATTATATACCACCATATACGAACGACTCATGTACTATCATAGCTTATAGAATACTTTTTTATTTTATTTTACCGAATTACTAAACTCAATCCATATTAAATTTTGTACTATCATAATACTCAACAATTTCATGATAAAACATTGTAATGCTTATCTTTAAAAAAAAATTCCCATTTCCGACCAATTGACCGTTTTTAAAGCTAGTTATATAATAAACTAGCTTAGTGCCCGGCCTTTGGCCGGGTGTGCTGCGGGTTTTTGTGTGATTGGCCCGCAGGAAGTGTATTTGGTCCAGTGTGCTAAATGGTGGATGATGAGTTAGTTGAAACTTGTGTTAGATTGCTGTTCAGAATATTAGTTACAGCTGATATCATCAAAAAGAAGGAATAAGCGCCGTATCTACGTGTCATTAGGAACATTCGTATGTGTGGTTTTCATTTGAACATCAAGTATAAGCGTCGTCTTTCCCTCATAATTTTGGACAATGAAGCTTTCAACGTTGAGAAGATGTCAGCATGACCTGTAGGATCGAACAGCATTTTAACTCCAATTTTTGTCTGAATTCATAAAATCTTGATGTTGTTCCATACTTCCATTGTTTTGTTAAATTACTACCTGGTGAAGATAACCTGCCAAGTTCTGAGGAAGTCCTTTGTGGAAGAGTGCCTTGAAGTAGCAGATGTTGAAGCTGGGGGGTTCTCTGTTATAAAGCGGTCAAATATAGTGGTTAGGGGAAGAAACTCCCTGCTCGAGGAGCCAACGTGGGAAGATAATGAAAGCTAAACCAACATAAGAACCAAAACCTGGTCGTGGTTGATTGTGTACCGTACCTCCTGCAAGGGTTACAGCTGCAAATCTTGTTTTCTTTTGCTGGGCAGGTTGGTCGGAGACCAGTGCTCTCTTTCCTTTGCGATCCATTGTAAGGACAGAGATAGATATCCTTAAAGACCCCTCCAACCTACAAACAGACATTGGCTAATATGGTTACTACTTTGCTGATAAATTGAAGAAATAAAAGTAATAGAACGTAAAGTTCCATTAAGGTGAAAAAGGAAAAATGAACTTGATTCCAGTTGGGACATGGAACGAACTTGGCGGGAGCATTGTATGGAATGGAAGGATCCCAAAGCAACACAGGCAAGTTTGGTGGCCTATTTCAATATTCTATACATTATGTCTACAACATTTACAAAGCTAAATCACCACGCTAGTGACTTCGCTACAGCCTATCACCGACGGACCAAGACCAAATCCCGTCCAAGCACTGTTCTCCTTTTTTTTCTTTGACCAAATCATTAAACAGCCGCAAACAGAACAAATTCAATTGAGGCCGCTGCTGCTTCTTCGACCCCAAGATTACAAATCCATCTCAAGCGACGTCCACTAAATCCAGATTCAATTGTGCCAACGACAATTCCCATCGATCTCCGGCCGACCCTCTGCTTTTCCGTATCCCTCGATCCCTCTCTTACTCTCTCCCTCTCCCCTTCTTCTTCATCAAATCAAATATAGGAAAAAACAAAGATCTTCAAAATTGAAACCAAACTGCAGAGAAGAGGAAGTCAGAACATGAAAACCAAATACCGCAAGATATGCAAGCTTGGTGGCCGCTGCAAATATCCTGTGAATTGGTAATCAAAACTCAGTTGGTACTCTTATGCATTGCTGTCAGAAACCAAACATGGAAAATAAGGCAGGATAGTCCCCCTCTCCATCACCAGTAGATTAATGCATTCAAGTGGGTGCTGTTACTTTTTTCTATAAACCAAACAGAAAGGTTGCATCTGGTTCGCCCAATTCTTCTGTTTTGGAAACTCATGCTGAACAATAGATTGTAGGCGGCCTTCAGGGGCGAAAAACATGTGCAACAAATTATAAATTATTGGTCAAAGAGGTGTGGTAACAATTCTTCATACCTGAAGTTGCAGGGACAGGGCTGAGTAATATTGCAGTCCAAACCAGGGAAAACGGATACACACGGTGGATGGGGTGTTACTCCTATGATTAGTAGCCTCGTTGAAGAACCCAGGGGAGAAAAACCTAGGACGAAAGCGCTGGCGAATAATAGACGGTGGAGTCTGAATGCAGTTGTGCCGCAGAATAGGCGGAAGTCTGATACACACTGTCGATGGCCATAGCACCGAAAATTATAATTGAAGGAGCATTGAAGACAGATCAAGATCGAGTGGAATAACAATGTGAATGGCGGTTAGCAGTAAATGTAGAATTACCTGCGGCAATAGAATAACGTCCAACGGGGGAACTTGGAACGGGGCAATTGGCGACAGCCGCGCTCACGGAAAGCAATTAACGGGCAGGAAAAGAAGATGAATGTTGAACATTTGTTGGGGTTGTACGAAGCCGGTCGATTCCGAATCCATGGCGGGACATGATGCTTGGCCGCTTTGACAGAAACCTATTGACAGGCGTAAAAGAAAAATGACTCTACATCTACTGGGAGTGCACGAAGTCGGACGGAATTGGCGGTCTCCCGTTTGGATAAGGCCGCAGTCACTGGGGTGGTGGCCGGAATCAGAAATACCAATGAACGGGCGCAGGCGGACTAAGTGGCAGGAAATTGGAAGCCGGGCGATTAGGGTTGAATGATGGATGTCGGGAGGAGTTGACGATGCGTACGACCAGTAGGAGAAGTAGTTGTGAATTTGGGGAGGCTCCTGCGTTGTATTGGGTGGGAAAAATTGAAGGCGGAGGAAAATTCTATTTGGCGGAGGAAGGACTTTTAAAGTGATGACGTGGATGAGTGGGGTTTCACGGAGGCTTACGTGGAGGGGGTAGGATTCTAAAAATGCTTTAAGATTTTTTAAGATGTGTTCTTTAGGTGCTTAATAAAACGTCACTATCTCAGAATAAAAAATTGATGATTTTCAGAATTTAGGAAGCAAGATGGAGAGCGAGGACCAGGACTAGTCTTTTCTGTTCTTTCGGTCTTCCCTCTCTGGTCTGACGTGATTCTTCAACTCACACGCTTTTCTCAATCCAACACATATTTCCACTCCTCTGAATCGAAGTTCCATTCCGCCATTGATATTTCTCATCAGTCTTCCTTCCACCGCTTCTTCCCGAACTCCCGGCGGCGCCTCCTATTCCGTGCTTGCGGAATCACCCCGAGAGAGCACCCACGCCCGCCATGAACAAGAGGAGCTTGAACCCCAACCTCAACCTCAAGCTTTCTCTTCCTCCTCCTGATGAAGTCGCCTTCGCCAAGTTCCTGTAATTTCCCCCCACCCTCTCTCTCTCTCTCTCTTTTCTTGCTCGATTCGTTTTAGGTTTTTGTTTTTGTTTACCTCGAGCTTATTCTGCTGATGGATTGCTCCCAGGACGCAAAGTGGCACGTTCATGGACGGTGATCTGCTCGTCAATCGCGACGGAGTTCGAATCGTCTCTCAAACCGAGCCTGATGCTGTACTCTCTTCTCTCTCTCTGTCTGTTATGATGATGATGATCTCTTTGTTTCTTTTCTGTTTCTTGGGTCCGATTCAGAGCTTGGAAGTGCCATTCCCCCTGTACAATTTTGTTTGATTGATGGTTGATTGACTGGATTTCGCTTCGCCGTGTTTCTTTTCTTCAGCCGCCGCCAATTCAGCCCGCAGACAACCAGATGAGTCTAGCAGATATAGACACCATCAAGGTCATAGGGAAGGGAAATGGCGGCATTGTTCAGCTCGTGCAGCACAAATGGACCGGCCAGTTCTTCGCGTTAAAGGTTCTTTCCATATTTCCTATTATTTGTTCGCGTAGATGCCTTTTCTATTTTCAGCTTTGTTCTGGCAGTGGACTTGAAAAATGTTTTGAGTCTGGTTGGTGGAAGTTAACAGTGCTTTCGAATTAATTATGAACTCAACCAACTGTCGAGGTTAAGTTGCTGAAAGCTTCTATTCAGCTGCTTACTAGGGGAAAACTTGACAATCAGTTCCCTCTTTCTAATTGCTACTTCAGCCTTTTACTCTAGCAAGCTTACAGAAATTTGGCACTTGTTTGTTGGTTTTGGGGATTGTGCTTTTGGACGAATTGAAAACTTGGCACCTGCTGAGAGCTTCTTACGAATCACTTTGTTCCTCCCGACTTGTAGTCCATAAATCAAAGTTTGTCTATGGGCCAAGGTTAATGTTACGTAGAATGGTGATCTTTGTTTCTAAGAATGTCTAGTAATCCTTAAGCTGCTTGAATGGCTTCAGACTTATTCGGGTCCTTATGCAAAGTCCTTATCAGCATTCATTTAAAGGGCTCGGATTCGGAACCTTGTAATTTCTGTGGATTTTTCGGTTATATGGGCTTGCCCAAATGTTTCCATTTATTACCACTGTAGCTAACTACTGATCTTCCTGCTATATGTAGGTTATACAAATGAATATCGAGGAGTCTGCACGTAAGGCAATTGCTAAGGAACTGAAAATCAATCAATCAGCACAATGCCCCCACGTTGTTATGTGCTATCAATCTTTCTATGATAATGGTGCTGTTTCCATTATCTTGGAGTACATGGATGGTGGTTCCTTAGCAGATTTTCTGAGAAAAGTTAGAACAATTCCTGAACCGTACCTTGCTGCTATCAGTAAGCAGGTTGGATGGCTTTCAAATTCTAGTGTCTACTGTTCAATAGGTTTAAGTTCTGTTAACTTTCTTATTCCAGATCTGTCCCTGTTTTCCAGGTACTAAAGGGTTTGTTGTATCTTCATCATGAGAAGCATGTTATCCACAGAGACATGAAGCCTTCCAATTTGTTAATAAATCATAGAGGAGAAGTCAAAATCACTGACTTTGGTGTGAGTGCAATAATGCTAAGCACTTCAGGACAGGCAAATACTTTTGTTGGCACGTATAATTATATGTCGGTAAGTAACTTAATATCTTTTTACCAAAGTTTACCTTGTGATGGTCATTCTTGTTGTTCTTGCTACAATGGCCAATGGCCTGCAGCTTTTAAATGACAAAGAACCATTTGTCTGTTGCAGCCTGAGAGAATTAGTGGAGGAAAATATGACTACAAAAGTGATATTTGGAGTTTGGGATTAGTGTTGATGGAATGTGCGACAGGTCAATTTCCATATGCACCTCCAGAGCAAGATGAAGGCTGGGTTAATGTGTATGAGCTTATGGAAGCCATCGTTGAGCAACCACCACCTCATTTACCTTCTGATCAGTTTTCTCCAGAATTTGGCTCGTTTATATCTGCATGGTAATGGTCCCATTCTTGAGCTTTATTCATAAAATCATTAAAAATTACTGCTGGTTATTCTTTCACATAAAATTCTTAATCTTCTTCCCTTACCGTTCTTGCTTGCTGTTTATTTTTCAGCGTTCAAAAGGACCCAAAATATAGACTGTCAGCACTTGAACTTATGGTACAAGAAATCTCCTCTTGCCTTGTCTCTTCATGTTACTGCTCCATAAACATTTGACATCTGTCTCTCTTTTTCTTTGGCATGCAATGTCAGGCACATCCATTTATGAAATTGTACGATGATCTTCATATTGATCTCTCATCTTACTTCAAGAATGCTGGCTCTCCTCTTGCGACCTTTTAAGTATCTCGTAAGTGCAGGACTTGGTCAATTCTAGCATATAAACTGCTACCTTCTTGCAATTACACATAATTCTTCAGTTTGATGAAACTGTGACGCCTAGCTGGCCAGTTCGTACACCCGAGCCTTCCCTGAATCTGTTGATACTTTTTACTTTCCATGCTTCCATTTTATTTTTGTATTTCCCTCTCTATTTGAGTTAATGTTCTTGGAAATAAAAGCCAAAATGTACTGAGTAGGGAATGAGATATGTTAACACGGCAATCAAACATATTTAGAAGATCCAGTTATCTTTCGTTCGGTGAACCAAATATTGTGCAAGTTTAAATTAGAAATGAAAGAGATGTAGACATCCCTATCTGCTTCTTTTAATTATTCCTACAGTCAAACAAAAAGTAAGAAAATACTCATGGTAACTATTCGAGCCGATGAGATTAGTAATATTATCCGTGAACGTATTGAAGCTTATAGTTTCAAGGTTATGTCCATGACTCAGGTCCTGGGACCGTAGGCTCTTCAGCAAAATCTGATTTGTTTTTGCTTTTAGAAGTAGCTTAACAGCTTAATATAATGTAACTGTATAAAAGTTCCCCTCTGCGTTTTGAGTGTTCAACAGTCGGTTCATCTAAATTCATATCATTCATGTTTGGTTTTCGATGCAAGATACTTGCTCTGATTACATTTGCTACTTTGGTACCAGATGGGGGCTCACGGCGACTCTGAAACAACTCAAGGAAGTAATAATCTAGTTAAAATTTTGAACTTGTCAAGTATTGAGCTGCAAAAATGCGGCAGGTAAGCAACAATGGTGTCAAGAAGCATCAACCTGAGTATCAAATTGCTCAAACATTTTGTGTAGTGTAAACCGAAATCTTTCTCTGCAGTGTAACTAGGGCGAGGTGTTGTTATTATCTCATAATGTGGGAAGGGAAGCCCCCTTCTATAATTTGAGTTGCCAGAGGAAAGAATACCACAACTTGCTTCTATGACAAACAACAGTGTACTATTTGTGTGAAAGGTGTGGCTTGTTTCCCTTGTATCTAAGACATCTGTGTTGTGTAATGTAAATGTTGTTCTACCAACTCTGTTAGCTGTTCAGTCTGCTACTTACTGTGTTTTATGCATCTCCTTACCGTAAAAAATCATGGTACTCAAGCAATTGGCTACAAAGATTAGGATGCTGTGCCACTTATCCGAAAAGCGAAAATTGCATAGTTATGTTGTATGTGTTGAAGATCTTACTGTACATTGTAAAAGATCGTCAGCTACAGCAGAAGCATTACGAGTCATGAGACTGAAAGCTAAGAAGCAAGAGCTGCCGTTGTATGTCATTTCGATGAAAGCATCTGCAATAAAAATCTGCATTTGCTGCTGTGTAAAAAGGCGAAAAAGGGGCCCTAAGAAGGTAAGATAAGGTTATTACTACTGCTGAGGTTGTTGTGTCTTCCTCTTGAACTTCCTCTGTGCTTTCAGGTCCACCACAACGACTGTTATGTTGTCTTTGCTCCCTCTCTGCAGAGCAAGGTTGGACAGAGACTCTGCTGCAGCTTGTGCTGCAGGGTCAGCTCCCGGATCGTCGGGCATCGTCGTCTGGCCTTGACTATGGCCATCCTGGGCATTGCTTCTTCTTCTGTGCCACAGCAGAATCGTTCTCCTCGCAACCTCGCACGCCTCCTCGTTCGTTATCACATCCCACACCCCGTCGCTCGCTAAAATCAGGCACTCGTCTTCTTTCGCTCTCTCCACGATTCTCACTTCTGGGTCAGGGATGATCCACGGCTTCAAGTATCTGTCACCTGCAATCACCACATCCCGTGAGTTTCAAACATCCAGTTTCGTGCCTCGTCGCAGAGAGACACTGACTTTGAGAGTGAAATTGCAAACAACTTGCATACCTATGGATCTTGACATTGCAAGAACACCCAGAACTCGAGCTCCATTCCACTGAATCACCTTGCCTCCTGCACCTTCAATTCTTGCATATTCGTCTTCTCGATCGGGCTGCAACAAACCACAAATACCCATGAATGAACAGATCGATCAATCAATCAATCTGCCCCACTTCACCAGCATTTTCAAGAAGATAGAGACCCTAAGGTAACATACCTTGTGGTCCACGGACAACGGAACAGCTGCTTTGCCGCGGCAAAGCACTGCCCTGGAGTCGCCACAGTTTGCAACGACGATGTGCGTCCTGCAAACCGTGGCGACAACTGCTGTCGAGCCCACCGTCTCGGGGACTACCTCAACAGCAGCAGCACCACTTCCAGTACCACTACCACTGATCTCTGCATCCACTCTCAGAAAGCACTTGGAGAAGGCCTTCTTCAACACCTCCTCTCCACAACCCGCTCTCGCGAGCTCCTCGATCTCCTCCGACAGCGCCTCGTGGACTCGCTTCCTGCAGTACTCCGCAACCTGCGAACCACCATGGCCATCATACACACCGAAGAAATGCGCGGTCGAATCGACCCGGCTGCCCAACATCCGAGCTGGGACGCTCATGAACCTCGGAACTACAGCCACTGCATCTTCCATCTCGGGCCTTCTCCCGCAGATTGATGTCATCCCCCACAGCGGTAATCTGTCCTTCATCTCCCCTGCTTCCACTGAACCACACTGGCTGCTGGTATTGCTACTACCAGTGTTGGTTTGGGGAGGATTGATGGAGTGATAAGAAGTGGAGAGAAAATCAAGATTGCTGGTAGGAGAAGGAATCGGTAACAAGCTTGATCTGTCTGCTGCGAGTGTGATTGGACTGCAGAGCAGGCTGGCTATGTTGAATGGAACCCCTGCTGCTGCAGGGGACATCTCCCCTGTAGTGTTCATTTCTTATCTCCCCTGTATTCAAAGCAGAAAGAAAGAAAGAAGAAGAAGAAGAAGAGGAGGGACTGAATATATGGGAAAGAGAAGGGTGTGGTGGGTTTTTATAATAAACGTCTAAAGTTGGGGGGGAGCTGGAGGTTTCTAAAAGGGCTAGAAACAGAGGACCACAAGATCTCCTTCTCCACCTTCCCTCTCCCTGTGAACTTAACTTCTTTGTGGATAAATGCTATAGGTTGAAGGAAGTGATGAAAGCAATGGGGAGGGTGGGAAAAGAGGGGAGAAAGAAAACGGGTTGAAGAAGCAACCAGACCAAAGTAATAAAAGAAATAGAAATGGCCAGAAGGGGGTTTTTTTTTTTGCCTGAATCAGTGGCAATTCATGTGAGCCTCATGAGAGAAAGAAAGAAAGAACAGAGCTTTGGTAGCTATCTGTCCCATTGTTACCTTTTTCTTTTAGATGGGTTCCTTTTCCCCTGAACCGAAGAACGCAGTTGAGGCTGGAGGAGAGGGAAAATTTGAGCTTGGGCTTGAACCAGAGCTTTTCTTTCTTATATAAGAAGAAGAGGAAGGAGGAAGGAGAAGAAGGGATGGGATTGATGATTGAAAGGCGGAAGGAAAGAAAGGGAAAGGAGGCGTGAAGGGAGAAAGGAGGGCACTTGGCACTAGGTCATGGCGGGAGCGAAGGAGATAATGTAGTAAAGAGAAGAGGAGAGGGGAGGAGACTCGTGGATTTACGAAACCAGACGTCTGAAAGACTGAAACTGATGCAGTGATGCTCCTTGTTTTTTCCTTTTTCTTTCTTGGGGGATGAATGAGCTTCTTTCTTCTTTCTATTTTATAAATTGTTTATTTATTTGTGGAATAATAAATTGTTTCTGAATTTGGTCAGGAATACGCTTTTTGGAAGGAGGACCTATTTTTTTTTTTTTTTTTTAAAAGCTTCGTAGTGCCAACATTTTAGGGTTTGAAATCAAGACTAAGCAACCTGTGCTAGATGGTAATGGACGGGCTGAGTATTTCACTATCCATATTCGTTTCGTACTAAGTAGTTATTATACTAAATTGGTCACTCATATTATACTAAGGAATAAGGATTGTTCTTGATTAAACTTATATATGAAAAATATCATTTTGTAGCTTGCAGTTGCAAGAGGTAAAGTCAACACTATTTTAAAATGAGAGCTGGTATGATAAGCTGGAAGGGTGGGACAGGCGTCAACGTGGAAAGAAATAATTAAAATAGAAATCAAGTGAAAGATTAACTTAAAGAAAAAATGTATATTTCTAGGTGCAAAAAGAAAAATATGTTGAAGAAGCTATGGGGAAAGACAGTCTGGAATTCAGTATCTAATTACTTGACTCGACTAGCTTATTAATCAATTTAATTCTCATTCAAATTATCGAGGTTATTTCTAAGATGATAGCTATCTTTCTGAATACTCACTATATATGTACTAACTACTAAGTAGTCAACTAATTGTTTATTCTTGTATAACCAACTAATTAAATACCTAATCTGAAGTCCGATAACTCATATATTTACATATGTTAATAACATTATGATAACAAATTTATTGTAATGTAATAAGGTGTGTCAAAGGTCACGTGGAGAAGTAGTATAAATACTTCTCATATTCCTCTGTAATCTGTAATCTCCTCGATATAGTGAAATCGGCTCTCTCTCGCCCGTGGACGTAGCTAACACACATCGTGTTAGTGAACCACGTAAATCGTGTGTCGTGTTTTCGATTCTCGCTTTCGTATTCTTGCTTTGTCGATTCCGGCAATTTCCCGATCCATAGCAGCGCGTTTTTAACAGTGGGTCTGACACGGAGTGTGAATCAGGTTGAGTAATATTTTTTTTTAACGAATTCTTAAATGTTGTTTCAACTTTCATCGATTCTTAAATGTTGTTTGAATAAATTAATGGATATTTAACTTTTAGTAGAACCAATATTTGAATTTAAATAATTGAAAGATAGTCTTCAAAAAAATTTAGGAAGACAAAATAATTTTAGAAAGAAGTTAACTTAAATGTAAATGTTGATAGTCAAGAAGGGACAGGACGGAACGGGCAGGTTGGAAGCAATTCTCATGCCAACCACACACCACTACTGGTTGAATAATACCCAAATGTGAACTCATCAAGACTGTAGCCATGCGATTTGATTTTCCACAAACATCATTTCTTTTCTCCTCTAGCTACCTTGTCTTTAAGCCTTCACTTTATTTCATGACAATACTGTGATTTGATTTACCATAAACATAATTTCTCCTCCATTACCAGTCCTGTAACACCACGTACTCTGTTTTGATAAGAGTAACAGATATAGAGCATATGCTTTACTAGTAGGGTGGAAATCGGTACGGTATCGGTATCGGTATCGGTATCCCAATACTAAATATCGAAATTCCGAATACCGAATTATATCCTAAATTGAATCTCAATCCCAATCCCTGAATAATTTTGGTGTCCCAATCCCAATCCTTAAATATTTTGGTATCCCAATCGGTACTTCGCTATCCCAATCGATATTATCGAATAAGAAATTAATTAGATTTGATTGTTCAATATAGGACAAAGAGACTAAGCGAAAAGTCATGAGTTTGGCTAGAGCTAGGATATGGACAAGGAGAATGGAGGAGAGGTGACGTCTCAAGTTTTTGTTATTGGTAATCTTTAATTTGATGTATTGGAGGCTAAGAGAAAACTAATACTAATGTTTGTTTTTTTTTTATGTTATGAAAATAACAATAGTTTGGTGGTTGAGGGTCGTGTAGTAGTGAATGAGAGAGTTTAGTTGAGAGCATAAAATACACATTAGCTTATATTTTGGTATTGTTCGGTATTTCGGTACATACTGATCCTAATCTCGTAATCCTTAATACAGAATAACAATTGAAATTGAATCTCAATCTCAATCCCAAGAAATAATACGTGTATTCAGTAATATCAAATATAGACAAATTCGGTATATCCCAAATACCGGTACCAAACTTCCAGCCATAGTAATTACTAGGCCGTAGAACAACAACTAGCAATGGGCCCGGCCCGTTGGCCGGTGTACTATAAAATCGGTATGTGTACTTTGTTGTATTACATTGGCGAGTGATGTATAAAATATTGAAGCAATTTGAATTTGTAACTTCAACCATTTCATCAGTAAGCATTGATCCAAGTTTGGAAAGTACAGGTTGGCAAAATCGAGGAAAAAGTTACCTGCTGGTGATGATAGACAATATCCCTACTACAGATTGCAGCATCCATCACAGTTACAGGAAATTGAAATTGATGTTGTGAAAAGTTATACACAGACTTGCTACCAAGGGAAAAAGAAAAGCTAACTTGAACTTGTGACAAACACATGTATAACAAAATGTTGTTGTAATAACCCAAACATATCCATGGAATTGGTAACTTCAAATTCCTATTGTCTTCGGTTAATGATAAACCAAGCTATGTACAATCAAAGCATCAAATTCAATAAAAACAAAGCATTGAGAAACAGCCCACATATGTGCAAAATACTACTAAATAAAAGGTTCAGAAAATGCCATTAACCAAAGAAAGATTAAGCCAATACTACTTGTCTTCCTCAAATTCACAATCAAGCTCATGTTTCCTTTTCAATCCAGTTGATGTTGTCCCTCCAAGATTAAGAGTACTTGTATTAGTATTGCTGGCCTCCTCTAAGATAGGAGCAGGCTCTGTGAGGGATTGACTTGATGTGTCACCCAAATGCGCAATCAAATAATAGCTTCAAAACATGAAATTAAGTTTGGTACCATTTAGGTAAACGAATTTAATTACAGATGGAATATTCTTCACTTACCCTAAGTGGATCATGATCCACTCTAACCATGCAATACTCAACTTGAGGATTCAAAAAGTTGAATTCAGTAACATGTAATTTGAGAATCATATTAATAACTTGCTGGATCTGTGGAGGAATAGGCTCATTTTTCCTCTGATTTTCCTGGAATAAAACATCAGCCATTACTCCGAAATGCAAACCTTCACGCTCTAAAAAAGGCAAAATCATTCAACGAAAAATAAAATGGCAAAAATCTACTCCACCAGTATCATCTTCCAAATGGAGTTTCACTCTACACCTACGGTCAAGATGAAATTAAATTGAACAAAGTTAAGAGTTTGTATCTCTCTTCCACTATGATAATTCCTATAGCAACAAAAGGTGCAGATCACAATTTCCAAAAAAGAGTGAAATAGGTTAGCATACTTGGCTTTAGCAACTAAAGATGTCTTTTTCCTAAAGTTGACAACAAAGAAAGGGTATATTGTTAGATAAATTGGAGGGATCATAGTCTTAGCAAACATTACTATCCTCCATATTTTTGAATTCATTCAATTCAGCTTGGATCTTTGCAATCATAACAGGTGCATTAAGACTTCCCCCTCACCCCTAGAATGCAATAATAGAAGCTCTTAAACTTGTATCATATATGAAAGTATTGTTCTACACCCTAACAAATAATCACAAACCCAATATTGAACTAATGCACTTCCGGAATGTCAAGATTTTCCTTTAACAGCGTTGCTCCAGTAGATGACAGGCAAAGCTCCCCTTATATAACAGAAATAAAATAGTTAGTCTTAAATCTAATACTTGTAAACATAATGGGCAAACAAATGTTGAGTGTCCAGAAGCTTTGAATTCATCCACAAACACAGAGGTTATGCCGAGAATGATATATTTCCCTTGACTGCGAGAGTTAATTTCATCCAATTGATTGCCAACACTTCCCCATTAAGAGACCTTTATTTTCTCCCCTCTGTTAGCAAGTAAACACAATGTCAAAGCAAAGTAGATTAACTGGCCATCTTTCAAAAACGAATTCAATGTAAAAAAAATATGTGGGTTGCTGTTACTAACTCATAGACCAACAGCAGAGCACTTCGGAACAAAATTGATGACGGGAATTAGAAGTCAATAGGATTGCATGCCCATCATAAAAACAAAAACGGAGAGGAAAAAGAGATGGAGAATCCCATTTAGAGACTTCGCAAAGCCAAAATAAGAAGAGACCCAATAGAAACTTACATCTGCAGGGGAGATTGCTCCAATTAAGCCCTCCTGATGCGCCATCCTGAGTCAAACAATGATGGGGAGCAATATGTCGGCCCTCCGATTAGAGACAAACGGTAAGAGCAAGGCTTGAGAGGAAGGACTTCGACTCCGGCACTGCCAAGGGATGCAGGAGCTATCGGGGAAAGGACACCAAGGCCGCAAGATGAAGGTCTTCGAGGTATTGGAAGATTGAATGTTTGGCAAGCTACTCGATCAATCTTGGGCGACAAAATATATAGGCAGGCTTGAAAGGAAGATCTTCGATTCCGGCACGGATGAGGGTTGCAGGAGCTATCGACGAAAAAACACAAAGGCGGCGAAATGAAGGTCTTCGATTACGGTAGGGATTGGAAGACAGATTATTTTTGGACGGTGACAGAGAAGGGTAAAGGGTTCAATTTCCGGTGGGAGGCAGAACGCGAGAAAGAAAAGTTCAGTGAATTGACGGATAAAACCCTCCGCACTGTGCGGTGGTTCCAGGAGAGGCTGACGTGGCAAAAGCAATATTTTGACATTGCCTTATAGTGTTTTGTAGAATAAACAACACCTGAGCCCGCCATCTGTAATCCAACAGACTAGAGACAGGTAAAGGTTGGCCATTGGGCTATAGAGAAAGAGAGGAGGAGACGGGCGACAAGCAAATCAATCCACGGGAAGTGATAATAATAAAAGAAAGGAACACATTAATGTGTCGACCATGGATTTGCACACATTTACACCTTTCAGCCTTTTCTACCTAACTACTGCCTGCCTCTTTCTTAACAAACG